CGATACTGATTCCATCAAGACTGTGAATACACAGCTACAAGAAAAAAGACAGGCCTTTTTTAAAACACATACATACAAAGAAAGGACAAACTTAAATTGTAAAGTTGTCTTTACAGATTGCCTTTTAAAAATATAAATATGGGAAATTACAGTTAGTCTAAAACTATTTGAGTTCTAGAATCATAGCCACTCATAGCAGAAATCCATCTTACTGGTGACCACGGAAGCTACCAGTATCGTATTCCTGTAGACACATGATGGGATTCTGCTCATCAGCTCTAACTGTCAGGGTAGGCATGTTGTGTAAGGCATCGTTCTAGGCTCTCTGTGCAGCAGTGGGGAGGACCTCTGGAGTGCATTTATTCACACCTGTTAATGTCTTCTAATGCTGTGGGTGCCCCATCCCTGGCAGTGTTCGAGGCCATGTCGGTTGGGGCTTTGAGCAACCTGGTCTAGTGCAAGGTGTCCCTGCCCATGGCAGGGGGGTTAGAACTGGGTGATCTTTAAGGTCCTTTCCAACCCAGGCCATCTTATGTATCTATGATTATATGATATAGTCTTCTAATAGCTGTTGATAGGTGGAAAGAATTCCTCAGGGACAGCTCTTTCTTCATTTACAGTAGAGGGAATCGAAATCTCAGGTGAGAGCAGATGTTCACTGTTGAATTTGTTAGAACTGAGTGTGGCAGATACTATCCATGACATCTTTCATCCCTTGAAAGGACAAAACATGGGAAGGGATTGTACTAGGCTGTTTGCAGAGATAATGGCTGTGTCTATATTAGTGTTTTAGCTCACAGTGGGACTACATTTCTCCTTCAGATCAGCCCCACTTACTATGTCATGATTCACATCACAGAGCAGTCTTAGGGTGTACAAAATGGGTATCTTTGTGATGAAGTTAAATAAAAGATACATTTCCAGACAGCATCTAAACCACAGTTTACAGTCCAAAACAGCCCTGCCCAAAGATGTGTAGTGTGAATGTCAGGGCCTCAGCACAAACTGGTGTGCTCTACAGAACCATTCCTATTAGGCTGCACTACAGCCAACACATAAAAAGCTGATTCAAATCAACTCCAGGTTTCAAACTTGCCCCTGGAAAATACAATGTAAGTATGATGGAGATTTTGAACTGACCGGAGAAAATAACTGAACTGTACACCATGGAATAAAGGTTGTAGTCATGCTGTTCTGGTTGCAGCTGAGTGAAATGAAGGGGCTGCTGATCCCAAATGCTCTCAAGCTTTCTTTTACTGCTCCTATGCCAAAGGTTGCCACCCCCTCAGTTAGCATAACTTAAAAGGGTATTTGTTCCTTTGCCATATATTTTTCGTAATAGGTCAGGTCGATTGAAACGCTGTAACAGTGAGGTCTGAACTGTGTTGCCACCCATCAACCTAAAAATCCTTCAATAAAAGATCTCACCCCTCAAAATCATGTAAGATTACCTTAAAAATACATAAGATCTTTAAAAACTGTATTTTTATTTACCTGCTGGATTTTGCACTTCTGTGATTCGTGCTGGCAGCTTTCTGGACAATACTGGTCTTAGGAAAATACCCATTTTCTCAAATTAGAGCTGAGATTTTCAAGTAATCTATGTCTCAAACAGCCAAAGTTTAAGCAAGCCACTCAGTTTAGTGTGACTTCACAGGCACATCTCAAAAATCACAAACCCCAAAAGTCTGGCCATTCTCTTGAACTAAGTGTCCTTGTGTCCCAGTCCTGATAAACCTGTCATCTGGGAAACTTATCATGTGGATATTGCAAAAATGTGAAGGAGAAGAAAGTGTGTGGTGTGGTCTGTTGGAATACTGTTATTCCAGGCCATTTTATGAGGCTGGGCTGAGACTGTTGAGCCTCTGAAGCCAGAGCCTAAGGCAGTTCTTGTTGCATGCTGTAACTTCTTTGGAGTATTTTGGCTAATCACTGCAGTAGTCTCACCCCTCTTGATTTTCTAATAGGAATTACAAGGCATGGATCAAAGCTGGCTGGTTGTTTAGGTATTCATATTTTAAAAGACCATCTGGTTTTAATCATTATTGAAGAAGAAAAAAACCATACTGGGAATTACTTCAGATGTTTCTAAGTTGTGCCCATGTTGCATTTTTAAACATTTCAGCAAAACTGATATTATAATAGGAATGGTGTTTATACAGAGACTCTTAAATTTCTGTTAAACAACTGTGCTGTGTCTTAAATGACAAGAAATTTTATCTAGCACATGCCAAAGGCATGCTGAAGATTTTTCCAACAGCTCTGATTCATCTCCTTGAATTCATTTTTTCTTAGCAATACAGTATAGACAATAATTTTATTAACAGTCAGCTGTTTTAATATTCATTGCAATAAAGAGATTATTCTTCTAGAACCCTCAGCACAACTGTTTCTGCATTGTAAAGCCAAACAAGACTGATTGCTGCCAGAATTAATGAGCCTTTCTATACCCATATGCCATACACGCTGTAATTCATCTGCAGTTTAATCACTAACTAAAAATTTAGAGCTGAGACAGAGCTCAATTAAGTGACTCCTTGCAGGCCTGTGTCAAACCCTTACCCAGAAATCTGGATCACCAGGAGTTTGCACAAACACATGCATTTTGTGCAGCCATTGCAGGACAGGACAAGAGAGAAGGGAAGGCAGGCTGAACTGCTCTCCCAGTGCCTCACATGGGACAGAGCTGAACAAAGCCTCAAGCCCTTTGTGGCTCTTTCTAGTGTTACTACAGTGCCAAGGGAATGATTACTTTGAGCTGCTTTCCTTAGCAGTACATATTTCACCTTTAAAACCAATGCAGGGCACTTTTTCTGTGAAATTAAATAAATCCACTACATTCTTACAAACAGTTGATTCACTGTACAGATTAAGTCCTGTGTTCTGAGGGACAGAAATTCTGTCTGTACCACTGACAGAAAAGCCTCAGAGAAGTGGCTGGGAGTTTTTCTAGGAGGAAAGGAGGAGGTGTGGGTCATGGTGGGTCATTCAGAAAAATGTTTGACTCTAATTTTGCCATCTTATCTGTAGATATCTAAGTATTCTACAAAATAAAACAGCTATATTAACATCATATCATATCTAGGAAATCAAAGCACAGAAAGCTAACGCAGCTTTCCTGAAACCTGATGACAATTTGTTGGGAGTGCTGCAAAGAGAACCCCCATTTATGGACTCCCACTTCTGTGCCCTATCCACAGAAATGTGCTGCCTCCCAGTGCTGTCTAGATATGCCAGGCATCTGTGGAGCTGTATTTTTAGCCCTGATATTCTCTTTGGCTGGAACTGGGCCATCAAGATTCACAGTAAGCTAAGGACTGTAAATATCCCTTAGAGTTTATGGGAGGAAAACTGGCATAATATCAAAGCAGAACAAGCACTTTCTTAAATTTCAGTTTTGTTAACTACTGTCATAAAGATTTCTACAAAATAAAAAAGAACCAACCAGCTGCAGCATGTTGTAAACAAGCAAAAATTAGAAAGAAGAATTTCTGCAGACTTTATCATGTTATGGCAACAAAATCAGATTTTAAGAACTACAAATCATGGAGGTTTCAGGGCTTTTTCAGTCTTAATGATTTATGCTGGTCATTAAGCCATCAACAAAAAAACTTTTAATTTCCCAGCACACTGTAAATAATTGTTTTCTCCCAAAACACTTTGTTGTCGAATACCAAATAAACCCATGTATTTCAGATGCATAGGCTTTTCCCAAAATTACACTACCACCAAAATATTAAAGCTCCGTAGGTAGATCGCAGTTCTTTTAAAAATGCAGAACCTGTTTTTGTCATGTTCTTGAAGTATCTTTTGACCTGTGTTGATCCATAGCAGACATGCTTATTTTAAGGTGACATAAAATTCTGTAGCACTGAGGTCTTGTGGAAGGGTGAAAAGAAATACCTTACAGATGACAGAGGTCGAGCAGGACACATGCACACATCATCTTGTGTGTGTCATGACAGTATTAGTCCTCAGGAACATGAGGATTAGGTGTCTCCAGCAAGCATGTAATTCCATTAAACAAGTAGGCCTGAGATAAAGTGAGGAAAAATGCAGAGTTCTGCTATGTCCTGAGTGATTTCTGAGTGAAGTGCCAGGGAGAATCAGAATGGTGCACTGTCTTTGGAGGGACATTGTATGGGTTTTCTGAGCAAGGTACAGCAGTTGTTTTGCTCATAAACTGATGACTCCATGTCCCTCAATGTGCTGTTTTCTGAGTGTAAGAATTTTTCCCAGTGAGTTAGTGCTCTAAATTAGTTTTGCTGAGACACTGGGCCAGTGTGATTAGCATTCACTTTGCACAGGAAAGAGCTTGGATAGCTTCAACATTTGTTCAGCTTTTCTCTTCACTACAGACACTATTCCTTCCGCTCAGCAGTCATTCCCCTGGATACCATTTGATTCTGATTAACACAGGACAATTTCCCCCAAACCATGGCTTGCAGGCAGTATGTTTCCCGTGAAATCCTCCCACATTACTTGCAGCCAAAGGAAATTGAAATGTTAAAACATAGGAAAGCTAAAATTGATATTGCCTTGGGTGTATTACTTTCTCAGTCTTGTTGCCAGATGATAAGAGGCCGCTAACAAGTCATTTGTGTTTCTTATAGAAAGAACAACTTGGTTAATAACTTGAAAAACTCAAGCCAGTGTAAACAGTCTCAAGAATTTCCAGGGATAAGAGATGAAAAACACAAGCATTCTACTAAGTCTGAGCTATGGGGTCTCTATGGGTCTTAACCTGGGCAGCATGTGAAAATGCTGCCCGTGCTGAAGACAATTTTTGCTGCAATACATTATTAATACTTAATGTCTGTGCATTTTATTGCTGAAACCAGAGGAAGGTAATTAAATTGTTACAGTAATGTAGAAATTTATGATGACCTTTCTTTCCAACTGTTAAATCAGCAGGCAGGGAGAACAACTTTAAACCACAGGGTGGTTTTGGACCACCCATTGTTAACAGCAGTGTCTTCTTTTTTCTTTTTTTTTTTCAGAATGAGGTGGCAATGCTTCTCAAGCCGATATCAGAGAAGATTCAGGAAATCCAAAACTTCAGAGAAAGGAACAGAGGAAGTAAGATGTTCAACCACCTTTCAGCTGTCAGTGAAAGCATACCTGCCCTTGGGTGGATAGCAGTGGTGAGTCGCACGGGATGGTTGGGAGGGCTCTAAATATGCCTCTGGATGGTGCAGCCCAGAATAGTTACAAATCTTGCAGAGCTCTGCAGTCTCATCTGTATAGTTCTTCAGTCTACTAGACCCAAGAAGGTAATACACCTAATATGTCAGGGAAGGTGTTTGACTAATGTTTTACTTCCTTTCTCCTTCTATTGTTTCCTGCTACCATGGGTTGATGGTCCTAGTCTCCTAAACCAGGCCCTTATGTCAAGGAGATGAATGATGCTGCTACCTTTTATACTAACAGGGTATTAAAGGACTACAAGAACAGGTATGTTACCAAGCCCCAGTATCTACTAGCCAGAGAACAGAATATTAACTATACCAGTAGGGTTCACAATGCCATCACAGAAACTATTTTGCAAACTATAATGCATTTGATAAAACCTGCTTGCAGTAATATAATTTCCTCTCCTCATCTTTGACCTGCAGCATGTTGCAGTGAGAATGGCAGCAGTGCTAGCAGTGCTGGTTTTCACTCTATGCAAATTTTACAGTTATATTTAATTTTCTGGCACTCCAGCACCATAAGCTTATAGGCAAATGCATATTTACATAGCAACGTGTGGCTAGGTAGCTGCTACGCGCCCCTGTCTCACCTCTGCACTCATACTGTTGCTGTTTGTGCTCTTCACTTGAAAAAGTGCATTATGTGGTAGATATATACAGCTGCATATCAAATTCCATAGCTTCTAATTTGATTTTTCCCTGTACCACTGCACTGTTCTTAAAGAGCACAAGAAATTCACGAAAAAGTTCCATGAAGGATTATCTGTAAGCTGACGGAGAAAGAGAAAAATACAGGTCCTTCCTATGCCCTCTCAAAAAAGTCCTGCATAAATCCTGTTGATTTGGTACTTTTGATGGCCAGGTATTGGCTCTTGATTTTTACATCCCAGTGAAGAACAGTATTTGCTATTGAGTTTTGCCTCTTTAATGAGGAAAACTTTATAAATACAAAAACCTTTTGCATATATTTATATTCCTTCTATACATTACATGCTAGATATGTCATGTTATATATATTACACATTGTCCCTAAATCCTTAGTTCACCTACTGCAGGTGGTGCCTACTGGGGTAACTGATGATTTTTTACAATATAGCCTTAGTACTTTGGAGGAAAAAATCTCTCACCCAGCAGTATGGATAGAGTACATTATTTAGGTATTTAGTTCTTCCTTTCATAAGATATTGTTTCCCTATTTTTCACCTAATTAGATCACTATGTCTCCCAAAGTATGGAAGGCTCTCCCTTGACCTCAGTAGGCTTTGAATTAAACCTACTGACCTAGATCCTCAGCATTATTAAGGATCAAACTTCAAAGGAAATAAACAGGAGGTAGCTACAAAAATCCTTGTAAGCATCCAGTCCATAGCTGTCATTATGCAGCAATAATTCTCCATAAGTAAGGACTCCATCTTACAAGCAGTTTCCCTCACTCCACATATTTCTTGCTTTCACTTACAGTCCCATTGGAAGACTAATGATAATGATAATGACTCTAGAACCAACCTGTGAGTTGTACCTAAGAAACTATTGATGTACAAATATTTTAGCCTGATGACTAACACGACCCAGCACTACCCTGGCCACGTTTGAACTTGGAAGGTAGAATATCTTACAGAACCCATGGATATTTAATTGTCTAATGTTCAGCACCCTGAAACTGAGTCTGAGTACCACCTGACAGCTCCATATAACCTTTAGTACTTCTTCAGTTGACCTTGAGCCTGAACAGAGTGGTGACACACCCTTCCAGCAGGAAGCACTCTCTGCTAGAGGCATGCTTTGCCCTTGTTTGTCCTCTGGAAGGATCTAGAAGCTTTTTAGCATAGTAGGCCTCAGTATTTGCGGCACTTGGCTGACTGCCTGCTAACTGATCTGTCCATGGCTTTAAGGCAGACATTGGGGTTTACCTGTTTTAAGCAAGAGTAACAATGCTTACTGGTTTTAAGTACATTCACACATATAAATATTATCTCTGGTTTTACAGTGACACACGCCACGTTGATTGGGTGAAGTCATATCTGAACATCTGGTCTGAGCTTCAAGCCTATATCAAAGAGCATCATACCACAGGTCTCACCTGGAGTAAAACTGTAAGTACTCTCTCTTTCTTCAAGAAGAGCCATAAAATATCAGTAACCAATTTGACTTTTAATACAGGTCATTAGCTCAGGAAAAATAAATATCTAGGCCAGGAACACAAGTCATGGTCCATGGACCATGCTTTACCAAGCCAGTAAAAGTTTGAAAGATGTGTCAGACCTTTGTGGTACAAGTTTGGAGGAAGAGGAAAGAATTATTTGGGATTATTACAGCCTAACCCTCAGCTGCAGATGGTGAGGAGAGGCAAACACAATTCTTCATGCCTGCTACAGTAGAAGGTAGGAACAAAAACAGACTGCAAAAAACTGAAGGACATGTCAGACTAAAAGAAAACTGGGGGAATATGGCAGGGAAAGAAGAATGGTGGGAAGAATCTGAAGAGAGAAAGTTAACAACAGGAAAAAGAAACACAAGAGGTACATAAAGATTTATTACTTCATAGATAGCTTTATGAACTCTTATATAATAATATATAAAATAAACTGCATGCCTCAATATTTATGTTCTTTATATAAACTTCTGTTTGTTACAACTGGGATGCATAGGAAGATGATACCAAGGAATATTTTACTCTAAGACAGGTATAAACACGAAATATTAATTTTCTGTTGAGTGATGAGAAGACTGGTATTACTTGGTACTTTGTAGGTTTCTGTAGTAAAAATTTAAAATATTGAACATGGTTCTTTTCCTTTATTTAGTACAAGATTTCACACTTGCTACATCCTACTCTGTTATGATCAGTGAATGTGAGAAGAGCTAATGATTTTAAAATTATTATGAGATAAAGAAAAGAAATTGTAGTACCCTGATAGCCAAATTAGCCTGAGAATCTGGGACAAATTTAGTTTCATTAATACGGAGAAAGAATCATCTTCACCTTTAATGGAACTTTACAAGTATGGAAATAGTGTTGCTACATAAATGTTTACTGCAGCCATTTGATCAAACAGGTGGAGCTCTCAGTGCTGTTGAGTAATAGTAATCTTACTCAGAATAGTAGCTGTTGCAGATTGTACTAGACTGGTCTTAAAACCAGCATCTCAGCCATCATGTCTTCATATTTCCCCTCTTTTCAGTTGTGCAAGAAACTCCTGAATACAAATCTAGGTGTGACTTGTTTATTCATATTAAGCATAGTTTCCTGCCAACAGTGCTTATTCCATCAGGAGTGATCACTGCACCCGAAGTATTGATTTCACCTCACTTTGGATATCACTCTGATCTGGAAGTTGTCTTGGAAGTATGGCTCATTTAAATTATCATTCATGTAATGTGAGTCTGAGAGATTAAACCGCAAACACGTTTTTATGGAAGTATAATTTTTTAAAGCTTTAACTAATGTGAGCGTAAGGAAATGAGAATCTGATAAGTTAGTAGGCTGTTTAACTAGCTCGTTGTTTAAAGATTATTTAAATATTTCTATGTAGCCTGGTGACAAATACATTCAAGAAAGCAACGAGCTACTCAAGTGATAATTTCTTTTTTTATATACATTTTAAAGTGAGAATGAAAGTCACAGATTCACGCAGTGTGAAGTTAAGCATAAAGGTCTGCAGAATCAGGGTCTAGACAGAAATACGATCTATATAAAAGCTGTAGATAAATTCCAGACACAGTTGTTAATCATTGCACACAGCAGCTTCCACTTATATGCATAAAAGAAAAAAAGGAAAAAGCAGTAGTTTGGCAAGGCATTAACAAAGTGAAACATTCTGAAAAGGAGACATTGTTGCAGAAATGTTATTTTATTATAGAGAGAGAAAGAAAGAGAGAAATTTCTTGGGCTGTAGAAGCCCAGATTTAAAAGTGTATTATACTGATAATTTACCCTTCATATCTGCAGAAGTCAGCAAGTCAATGCTTGAAGTTTCTATAAAAAATTATTACGTAACATATTTGGATATTTCTAAAGAGACTAAAGAGTCAGGAAGAACATTAACTAGTGATTTTCTCAGGGCCGTGTTCTCATAGCTTGAACTGCAACAAAACCCCAGGTGCATCAGCCTAGATCAGACTGCTTGGGTTTCCAAAAAGAAGGGGACAGAAATTGTCCCCTTAACCTGTATACCACGGTGTGCACGTTTCTGGCTGTGCTCCGTAGCAGTATCACAAAGCTGTGCCCTTTCCGGCCTTCCTGTACCCTTCCATCAAGCTGCACAGGGCAGCTGCAGCCAACCTTGTCACAGATCACTAGTGCATACAGTACAGTGTTCTGGCTCTGGCAGCAAGCACACAGGCAGACACTTTAGAGGAAAGAGAAAGAAATGTCTTAATAAATTACAAGACAGACACTGAAACAGGTGCAAAGGGTTGAAATAATGGCAAAGCAGTCAGCTCTGACAGTAGCATGTACTCTGCTTTATAGATGTTTATATCTGCTTTATAAGAAGTTTGTGATAAAAACAGATGCTTATGGATTTTCACATCTAACACAGTTCCTCATTCACTTTGGCTCAGGTTCTGCCAGGATGGCAATATTTTACTTCTTAAGGGCATCCTATTGAAATACGTGGGAGTGTGTAAGGAGAAAGACAAGAAATAGTGCAGTTAAAGACCTTTAGACCTTTGTGTATCTGAGCCCATTTTACCACATGTGGAGTAGTGGTACAAAACTGGACCCTATATAAATGGTAGGCATTTTAAGACACGATGCATATGATTAGGATATTTGTAGGTACTGGGCTCACAGAAGAAAAGGACATTTGTAAAGTATGGATGTTTGTGAGCAGGTTTGTCCCAGACAGTAGAATGTTCCACTCTGCATTTTCACCAGGATCTTGAAGTAGTCATTTTCACTAATTGATTGTGCATTATTTTGACTGCAAAGTGGCCTTCTGCCTCACACACCCCGTGGTGAGTAGCAGTTCACCGTACTCGATCCATCTCAATTTAGCCACCTTGACAATGGGAACAATAGCAATTAATGGAGATTTGAAAGTTTTAATTTGCTACCAGATATGAAATTCTCAGATGTCAGTGAGTCTTATGAAAAAGCCATTGTTATAATGAAACGTTTTAAGTGCCCAAGGTAACATTTTACCTATGCAGCAATTGTCATTTCTGCTCACTACAACTTTCTGTCTTTAACATGCAATCTACAGCCCTAACAGTAACCTGTCTTTTTTCAGTTCTTACTGATAAACAGCAAGTGCCCTTTTCCCCCCTCTTTTTTTACTTTTTTTTCCCTAAAGTAGGGATTCTATTGAAGCATACTTCTTTCTGCCCTCTACTTGTTTTTTTTTGGTGGTGTAAAGAAATGACCAGCCGTAATACAAGCTCACAAGAATGCCTAAGTAAAAGTTTGTTTGCTACAAAGACTGCATGAGTAATCTGGGGGAAGTGAAACTTCTGCTCCTATTTCTGCAGGTTAACTCTGCAGCAAGAAAACAACGGGTAATAATGAGAGATTGCTGTAGTTTTCAGTACATCAGCGTTAAGAAACAAATCTTGCTCAAGGATAATTGTCTTGAATGTTTCAGTTGAAGGTGGATCTGTAGTTAACTTTTTGTTCTTTGTATACAGTAGTCATTTAGGACAAATTTTGTCAGCAGGTTTATTTACAAACAGGAAATGTTTACAAACTAGCAGTGAATTTAATTACAGTGTTCAGTCCCTAATGCAGAGTTTCACTCAAGTGATGAGTGAAATCCTTCTTTCTAATAATTTTATAAATCTAATAAATTTACAAATCAAAGCAACTTAGGAGGAAGTCTGCACATCTTTACAAGCAGTTGAGATTTATTTAAATTCCACTTCCATTGAAGCCAATGCAGTATCTTCAAGTCAGTTTTTTTCCTGAAATACCATTTTTAAAAACATTTATTACTCATCAGATAGTACTCTAAAAACATTCTTTAAAAGCTGAAATTCTCCACAGGTTCTACACAGAGAAGTACCATCATAATTCCTACATTAGCCTAATTGGGTGCAATTATGCAAGTCTCAGTGCAGATTTTGACCATTTCTTTCTTGTCTAAAATAATCACCTCCAGACATTTTCTTACAAAATGGCCCTGCCTCTCCCTTGCTCTATCGAAGCATTTTCCTACAATATATTGTCTTTCTATGTATTGAGATGAACAAACTGTGAAAGACCAACTTCTGCAGGCAAAAGCCTCCTATTATCTGCCCAGTATCTCTTCTATGCTGTGTTTAGTTTGACCTACTTATCAAGCAGCCATCGTCTGAGCCACTTCACCAAAGCTAAAGGTCAAAACTGTAGTGCCAAATTCCAGCCACAGCCACAACTGCAATCCCAGAGCTCTGGTTCAGATAGAAGTAAGGGCAGCTTAGACATACCAGTTTAAATGCCTGTAACTTGGATAAGATGTAGACATTTTGAGACTGTTTAATTTTTCTGTCTTAGCCTTTTCTCGCCTCTTCTGTATCCCTTCCATTCCTTTCTCTACCCTTCCCTTTCCCTATTTCTCTATACTTTCTTTGTTGAAAAAAAAATTGCATCCTTTGTTTGCAAGTGTTTCTTTCTCAGAGAATAGGCAGTGTTCTGAGTTTTGGTACACTGTCAAATAAAAAGCTCTACAGTAGTTGCCTCTGTGGCGTAGACTGCCTCAACTACATCCCTGTCCCTTTGAAAGAAACTAGTTTTACTCTCTTACACCAACAATGGCTGAAAATATCTGTCTTTACTGTATATCACCAATGTTCTCTTAACATGATGACCAAACACCATTCAGACATGTTAAGGGAGAACGTGGGAGAGGCTCATTTGATAACAGCTGTCAAACACAATCTGACCCACAACATAATGCAGCCTAGATCCAGTGGAAAGGGAAAGGAATAAGAATATTGTAAGCATGTAAAATGGAAAAAAAAGGAAAAGGTACATCTGCTAAAACTTTAGTAATTTGCTAAAGGGATTGGTCTTCTTTTTAATCTCTTTTTTCTATAAGTAAAAGATGGTTTAATCTGCCTGTTGGAGCACATTACTTGTTGGTAATTACATTAGCACAGTTAGAAGATGATAGCA